CCAGATGTGGACGTCTGTCACGCACCCCTGACATGGACATCTCATCAGTGTGATCTGTCATCCTGTCTCTGGGGCGGTGACAAAGGAATTGCTGAGGAACGTGGGGGTTGTCGGAACCCAGTAGTGTGTGGGTGGGTGTGGGTCCGTCCGGGAAGTAGTTACGCATCCTGTGGGAGGGGGCTGTGGGTTCACGAGGGGGACTGGACGTGCAGGAGGAGCCCAGCCATGCCACACAGCACCCCGGGCTCCACCACCCCCTTTGTCACACCTGAGTTCCCCAGAGCAGCCACCTGACCAGCACCCCAGAGAACAGCTTGGCCCTGGCTGGTCCCACTCTCTCGCCTGACCCCAGTGACCTTTGCCACGCTCAGCCCACCTTCACGAACCCACCCCAAGTCCAGGATGGCTCAGACCATCAATCTGGGGGCCAGGGGGCGGGCAGATGCACTTTTCCCGGCACAGAGCCCTGAGGCATTTTGTCCAAGGAAGGCGGGGGCAAAACCCTCCAGGAAGGGGAGAGAGACGCCTCATGAACCAGCCCCACCCCTGCACCGGCGGTTTGAGGAACCTTTGAGAAGCAGCCCAGCCTGCAGCCAGGCACGGATCTGTCGCTCTGTCGCTCTGTCGCTGGCCAGAGGGTGCAAGTTCATCACTTCCCCCAACATGACATGAAAGAGAAGGTGGGGAACGCAGCGGAAAAAGGAAAGGGGATCATTAGAGAACCCGCAGCGTCACGCCTTTGTCCTTGTCACTGTCTCTGCTCCAGCTCAGCGGGGGGTGATCAATAATTGTTCACTGAGCTTCTTATTGAATAAATTTTCTGAAGAAAGAGACGTCCCGTCCTTAATAACTGAAGTTGAAGGACAACAGCTGCTAAAATTGGACTCGAGAGGAACCGGAGAGAGGAAAAAAATCCAACAGATTCAGAAGAAGGGAGGCAGCTGGGGAACGGTGAGAGTATTTGGGAAGGAGGAGGAGGGAGGGAGGGAGGGAGGAGAGAAGGGAGGAAGGAAGGAAAGGAGGGAACTGGGGTAATAGGGAAGGGAAGGAGGGAGCACCGTGACCGGCGTGGGAACAGCTGATCCTTGTGGCAAATGTGGACAGCTCTAGGGTCATCTCTGTCCTCGCCCAGTCCTACTGGACACCATCAGAGGTGACCAGAGGACTGGGTTTAGACCAGGAGCTCTGCCCTCTGGTCAGCGCCAGGCCATTAGTCTCAGCTAGCCTCGAGGCGCTGGGGCCAGTTTCTGGGGTGGCATGGTGGGGGGCTGAGTTTCCAGAAGGATCTCAGGCCTCTACAAAGATGTGGAACGCCCCAAGGGGCTTGTCTCGGGACAGCCACTGTGTCCGCTGGGCCTGGCTCGGATGCCGTGTGCGCCCCTCAGATCCCACGGGAATGTGCCCAGGACTTGGGAACATGCCCCCAGCTGGCATACGCAGGCTTCAGTCCCAGGCGGCTTCCTGCCTCTGCCACCGCCCCGCTTCGAGCCGTCCCTCCAGCTGAGTTTGTTCCAGGCTTCCGGTGTGGTGTCTGGATGACCAGGATCCCCCTCCGGGAAGCACTACCACCCCCTTCTCAGCATTTTGGGGACTTGTGTCCTGCTGGGGCCCAGGCCCTTATCGTACATCCAGAGGGGTGCGGGGCACCCAGACTCTCCCCCCCACGGGGTGGGGAATGGGCTGTTGCAGGAAGCTGTGAGGGGGGCTCAGCCCACCCTGCGGAGGGTCCTGCAGGGTCAGGGCTGTGAGGACCATCCCCAGAGCCCACAGGAAGCCCCAGCCACTCCCTTTGTGGTAAGAAGAATGGATTGTCGTCATCTGTCACGGGCCCTGGGTGAAACAGATCATCAGCAATTATCTCCCAGGGCCGGAAAGACCACCGGCCCGCAGTCATTACCTCTGATGCGCTTCCCAGCCAGGTCTTGGGGGACCCCGCTCCCCGCCACCTCCCCCATTTCTGCAGCTGATTGCAGGCTTGGAAGGGAGAGCTCTGCCCGGGGCCGCTGCTCTTGGGCTTCCAGAGAGGTCCCTCTGTGCAGGGGTGAGAGCGCAGGACCCCCTCACACCTCCTGGGGGTTCGGCCATTTCTGGGGAATGCCAGGGAGTTACTGGGGGGGCTGGCGGGGTGCACACATGTGGAGCTGGCGATGCTGGAACCCATGGAATGGCCAATAGTGGCTGCTGTCTTGGTGGAGGGGCCCATGCACCCCAGCCGCACACCCCCCTGGGGCCCACACAGTCGCGCCCCTACCTTGTCTATTGGCGCTTTCCTTCCCAACCAGCATGGACTGGGGGGCAGGGGGAAGAGAAGAGGAGGGGAGAGGGAGGAGGAGGGGGAGAGGGAGGAGGGGGAGGGGAGAGAAAGGAGGGGAGGAGGAGGAGGGGGCGGGGGAGGGAGGGGGTAGGCGAGAGAGGAGGGAGGAGGGGGAGTCAGTTGGCCAGAGATTGAGATGTGGAGTGGTGACAGGGGCAGAGGAGAGAGAGCTGGACAGGGCCAGGTGACGCAACAAGGATCAGAGTGATGGAGGGAGGCGACGGGTGACGGGGTGATGGCCGAGTGGACGGCATGGGGAGGCAGCTCACAGGGCGATGAGGGGATGATGGAGCGACGGAGGGTGGACACGGGCTGGAGAGATGGCAGAGCCAGGGAGGCGGACGGTCCGAGGTAGAGACCCCCTGCGAAATCGGCGACGTCCACCACACGTCACCGAGCCTCTGTCCCCTCCCCCCGACCTGAGGCTCCCCAAGAAAGGACTTGGCAGTGGGGCTCAGCCCGGAAGCCCTGGGCTGGCGAGCAGGAGGGGCTCGGACCCTGAGCCAGACGGGAACGTCCCGGTTTCCTGTCTCGAGGCGAGTGGGAGGAAGCAGCGTCGTGGAGACATGGACACTGGACGCTGGACTCTACACCTCACCCTCCACGGCCCCTGCCCCGAACCCGCCCTCCCCCACCACGTGGCAGCAGCCTCAGTGCCAAGCAGCGGGTCCCCGGGCCCGTGTGGGCCTCCTCCCTCCGAGTGTGACCTTCTGCTATGCAAGCAGCCAGGCGGCTCGAGTGCAAATATTTCCTGGCGGTGGGGGGGCTGAGAGCGAGCTTGAAGGGTCCCGAGAAACCTGCCAGGTGGAGGCGGGAGCATATGGCTCCCATCTGAAGCCCGCGTGGTGCGCCAACTCCCAGCTTAAAATCTTGTCTCACTTCAAAAAAAAAATCCCCCAAACACCACAGGCCTCATTTCTCTACCAGGAGCTCAACCAGACCCATGGGGTAAGGCCAGCGGGGCGGGGGAGGAGCAGAGCAGAGGACGGAAGCCAAGTGCACGCGGGGAGGGGAGCCCAGATTCAGACTTCAGGCATCTCCCTGTCCTGTGCTCTGGAGGGGAGTCGGAACCGGGAGCCCCTCCCACCCCTTCGTGGACAGTCAGCAAGGAGGGGGTGGGCACGGAGGACAAGTTGGCGTGACGCAGAGATCTCAGACAAGGAGATGAAATGGGGGGAGAGGGTTTTTTTTTCCACCTTGCAAAAAAGTCATTTGTGGGGCCCAAGAGAGTGGGACTTGCCTCGAAGGTGGCAACCCCAGGATCAATTCCCTGCGCCCCATACAGTCTCATAAGCACCCCTGGGCGCAGAGCCAGGAATGGCTCCTGAGAACCGCTGAGTGGGCCCCTCCCTCCCCCGAGAAACACAGAACAAAACATCACCCACAAAACGCATGGGCCTATGACACGGGCCTGTTCGTCGCGAGGATGCTGAGATATGGCGAGTCCCTACAGAGTCCGAGCGTCCAGTCCCTCAAGAGACCATGTCCACCAGAGAGGCCAAGGAAGCAAGCATGGTGGGAAACTCTTGACATGGATGAAGAAGAGAACTGACACGCCGCTCCCAGAGGGGCTGCAGTGTGAGGAGGCCCTGCGTGTGCCCCGCCTCAGTTTGTACCCTGGTGACTATATGGGTACTTTCCCATTACTTGCCGGATCTGAACACTGCCAGTGATGTGGGGGTCAACCATTAAGCCTTCCGGTCCTCTTGATAAGCAGTGACCTGCAGAACTGTTCCATCACGGGGTGATGGCCAGTTCCAGCTGCGTCTCCTGCCTCTTTCCAGCTCCGGCTTTCGACAGCCATAGTCCGGATGAAGATGCTGATGGCTGGCACAGGACTTGCTTTTTTTATTTTTTCCTTCTTGGCCAAAGCCAACAAAACAGAAGTGAAGGCCCAAGTCCTTATTCCATCTCTGCCATCTGCCTGGGCCCTACGGGACCACCTGAGCATAAGAATTCTAGATGGCAGAGCATGGCACCGAGAAATCCACATCACAAACAAGGCCTCCTCATGCATTTCCTTCTGCTCAAGCCCAAGTCCGGACCCCCTGTCACCCATGGGTGTCCAACATCAGATGTGAAAGTTGGCTCTGCTTTCCACCCCCTCTGCCCATCGGGAACAGAGCAACCCGCACCCATGAAGGCTGGGATGAGTCCAGGTCATTGGGTGGGGGTAGGGGGGTCCTCGCCTTCCTCCTCTGTAATCTGCATGTAGCCCCTCCTTCATCCACAGCCTCTGCCCTGACCCCTGTCCACTGTGCTCAGGTGGTTAGTGCGGGTAGGGGAGGATACTGTTGAGACTCCCAATGGCTGGATGCTGTCCTCAAGACACAGTGACCTCCCACCCAACCCTGGGCCCTCAGGCTGGGTTCAGTGGCAGCTGCGGGTCTGTTCTAGGCAGAAAGTGAAGCGGGCTGTCCAGTCCGGGCCCAGGATCTCCAGGGAGAGTGGGGGTGTCTCTCTGCATGTCCCTGCAACCCTCCATGGCACGCTATGAGGCTTTTGGTTCCTCTGAGCCTCCAACTCTGACCCATGCCCTCATCGATAAATCACGTCCCATCCTGAGAGACCAGACTGGGCGAGACAGCAGGGGGGGGCTCTAGGGGAGGCCCAGAGAGAGGTGGACAGTCTCCCCCACTCCCAGAGGCTAGGCCCAGCTCCCGTCCCCACCATCAAGCAGCATGACCTGCTTGAGCAGCTATTTCTACTCTTGCCAAAGCAAAGGGCATCCCTACCCCGAGTCTTGGGAAATTGCTAAATCTTGCAACCATCTAAACAGCACCCTGGGGTGAGCGAGGCTGAGGATGGAGGCAGGGCACTCAGAGAGCGTTTCTCCTGCTCACCACGGCTCATCGTGCTGCCCCTGGGCTTCTGGAGAGGGGACAGAGGCCATGGTGGGGCTCCCTGGCATAGAGTCAGTGGCTATAAACCCATGTGATCGACAAGGCAAAGAAGGACTCGACTCAAAGCCACAGGAAGAGTCAGTGAGGGGCGATCTACAATGCCCACAGCCCAATAGATGCAGAGTGGCCCTTTTGGCCTCCCGTCCACGCATTTCTCGGGGCGCTAATGAAATCGAGCGCTTTGATTTTTGAATCCACCCCAGAGACGCACGGAGAGTCCCGGAGAGTCCAGGAGCTTCTGTGAACCCCACTGAGATGGACTAGGGGTGAAACAGTGGACGGGGCAGGCAGTGTGGGCCGTAGACGCAACCTGGGAATCGACAGTTGAAAACGGCATGTCCTTCAGCGCGGAAACTTCCAGAAAGCACAAACCAGCTGGAAGGAAGGAAGTGGCTTCACGGGACTGGGTTTCCCCGGATGCTGCTTCTCTTGGACTTCTGGCTCAGGATGCAGCTCTCACAAGAAACTTTCAAGCGAAGATGGTCAAAGACACGAATGCCGCAAATGGAAACCCCTCCGCTTCCGGCACAAACGTGTGAGCTGGGGCGTCTGGGCAGCTGCAGCACTGCCCCTCGGACATCTCAGCATTGATTTTTCCAAGAAGGGATTGTCCACTCGGTGTCTCAGGGGTCCTGACAACTGTAGGAATCGGGTGTGATCCCTGTCAGATGCTGATTCAAAATCAAAGCACTCGATTTCATTAGCGCCCCGAGAAAATGCGTGGACGTGAGGCCACAAGGGCCACCGGTGTTCCTCATGGGCAAGTCAGCGCCAAGAAAAACCCGATGGCACCCAGGGCCTGCGTCACGGCAGAACCAGTCTCTGTCTACTTGCCGGCAGCTCTCTGGCTGTCTTGACTGCGAGACCAACATATGTGCACCCCAGGACTCAGCATGTCTGCGCTTAAATTTATGCCCCAATAACTGCTCACACGTGTTCATCCACAGACAGATGCAGAGACGTTCAGAGTGACAAGCCTACATAAGCGCCCCGCCGGAAGCCGCCCGAAGGCCCATTAAGGATGACACTGATGAATCAATTCGATGGGTAAACGGAGTTCACACGGTAGAGAGTGAACAGCGACAGGTTGATGGCACCATATGGTCGGAGTTTACAGCCCCACCCACCCCCAGAAAAGTGAGGCTTGGAAGAGCGCGGATGGAGGGCCCCATTTAGAGGGCACGTCTGGGGGCTCAACGTCCCCCATCGGTAACGGGGCTAGCGAGCAAGGCCCGGCAGGAAGGACTCGGAGATGCCGTGGCATCCCATCTGGGGAGCGGTTCTCTAATGCAGTCGCTTTTCTCAGGGCTGACTCCTGGCTCTGGCAAGCTCAGAGGCCCCTAGGGTATGCCAAGGACCAAACTTGGGTCCGCCACCTGCAAGGCCAGCGTCCTGCCCGCTGTGCATGGCTCTGGCTGCAGCCTCATGCTTCTGACCAGCACCTTGCCCAGCTCTCAGGCTCACCCTGTGTGGATCCGGAGCATGACGCAGAACCCCACCAGCTCCTCGGGGCCAGCTGGACACAGCTGGGAGAGCAGGTGGTGCCAGGGGCCTGGGTGCCACTCGGACTGGCTCACATGTCCACTGTTCAGGCTTCCTTGTGCACACCCTACCTGGCCGGCTCAGGAAGTGGCTCCAACGGTCACAGGGGCGTCCACACGTTACTACCGGATCGAACCTCCTGGCCTGAGTGTGTCAGCCCTGTCAGTGCCCCTTCCGTCCCCAGGTGCTGATTTACTCTTTCCTGCAGAGCTGTGAAAGATTCGGTCCCCGGTCCTTTCGCTGCTCACTCCTCCCCTCTGCTTCCAAGCTCTGCAGCCTGCCTATCCCCAGAGCCCGCCACACGCGCGGTTCCCTTTGGAACAGGCTGAGCGTTTCACCATAGGGGTGACCCGGCGAAGGGACAAGGGCGTCTCCTGGTCCCCCTCTCCATGCACATCCATTCCTATCTGGTTCCGGGTGCTCTCAGAACCCGAGCTTGGTGCTGGAGGCACCGCCAGGCAGACCCATGTGGCAGCAAATCGCTGGCTGTCAGCCCCTCACTGCCCTGGCTCCTTGCAAGATCTCAGGTGAGTGATGGCGCGGCGGCCCATCCCTGTGACCAAGTCGCCTGGAGGCTCTGTGGTTGGACAGGAGGCCTGGGCAGAGTCACTCTTCAGAGTCCCTGGGCACTAGGACCCTTGTGCTATGGATCTTAACGAGCTTGGGTGCTAGGACTTGGAGGTAGCACAGTGGTTAGCACATGGCATGTTTGCATCCAAAAACTGCAACACACACTTGCTCACACTGCCGGGGTGGTCCAGGAATACTGGGCTGCCCAGTGGGCTGATTCAGGCTGATGGGGGTTGGGGTCGGGGAGGAGAGTCCCCCCATGAAACAAAAGCATGGGGCCTTTCTTCCAGCTCTGAACCCTGCGGCATCGTCTCAGATCTTCGCAGGGCACAGGTGTGCCCCTCCGTGCCCTGCCCGGCCCTGCACTCCCAGCCTTGGGCTCTCTCCTCTGCTGCCCCCTTCCTGTACACACACACGGTTTTTTGCTGATGTGAGGATGCATTTGTTTTTTTCATGTATTTTTTTATACTTTCTAATTTGTTGAGCAAAACGCCATCACCACTGGCCAGATTTCCTGCTGCTGAGGGCCAGCATCTGCGGTTCCTCGGGGAGAAGGCCTGGGCTGCGGCCACCCAGTGGTGGCCCCGAAGGTCCCCCTGCTTGCCAAACCCCAGCCTCACAGCCCATAAATTTCCTGTGAGTGGCTGTGGCGAGCAGACCCCGTGCAGCCCCCACCCAGGGTCCGGAGGTTTCCCACGCTCTTTCCCAAGGAGTTTTTTTTGGGGGGGCACACCCGGCAGTGCTCAGGGACCCCTCCTGCTCAGGGGCTCGGGGGGACCACGTGAGGTATCTGGGAACATGCCCGGGCTGGCCGGGTGACAGCCAAGCGCCGTCCCCTCACGGTGTCTCAGGCCCTCCGAAGAGCAGGGGGAGCTGCAGGAGGGCGGCCTGTGGCTGGGAAGCAGACCAGGGAAGTGTCCTGGGCCACTGGGCACAGGTGGGAGAAGGTGCCACGGCCCCAGTGGAGCTACGTCCTGGCAGGGAGGGAGGGAAAGGTGCAAGGAGGTGGACACAAGCTCTGAACCCTGCCCACCCCCAGGCTCTGACCCTCCCTCCCCAGCCCTACCCCTGCTCTCCCTCACCAATATGACCAAAGCTGCCCGGGCAGCCTGACCACAGCAGACCCGGCTCAGCGTCCCACCGCCTCCGCGGCCCAGGCTCCCCTCTGCAAACTCTCCACGCCACCCAACTCTACCCCAACCCGGCTCAATCCCTCTCAGCCGTGCAGCCCCTGCCCAGAGCCAGGAAGGGAGGAAGGGGGCCATGACCTGCACTCAGGGGCTCTCGAGGGGGTCGCTTCTCCACGTGGCACTGTCTGACGAGTGGGTGCAGCAGGGGGAAGCTGTCGCCCTGACCTTACCGCCTAAAGGCTGGCTGCTGGCCAGGAGAGGTCCCCGAGGACCAAACCCAGCCTGGCCGCAGGCTTTGGGGTGCAGGTTGGGCTCCAGCATTGCCAGGGACCCCCTCCCCAGTCTGGCTCCTGGAATCACGCATCCCATCTCTTTGGCACCCTAATGAGTCAGGACTGGGAGCAGATGCCGAAGCGTGCTCTAATCAGCGCCGACAAAAGGCCGGGCGTGTGTCCCCCCGCCCCTCCCGGCTAACAGACTGGCCCCGAGAGCCCGCGCCCGCAGCCCATTAGCTGCCCGGCCTCGGGGCCGCACGCCCGGCCCGACGGCCGTGCCCCTCCCCGGTGCCCGCAGATCTTCCTTCTCTGCCATATTAACTAATTAAGCACCATTTAAATTGTGCTTAGCCCAGGCATTATTTCCACCCAAGTGCATCACTCAGCCGCATTAAATTTCATATTCCACTCAGAAGCACATTTGCCTCATCTCTGAGTTGATCCAGCAAAATGGCCCATCTTGGCTTTCAGCACCAGCCCGCCCCCCACTCAGATTTTCTCACAGTGGAGGTGGGGGGCGGCCCTCACTTCTCCGTACCCCGATCCCCTGGTGGAGGGGGCCGGCACGTGAGCCCCAATGCCACAGAAGTGGGGGGACACGTGTTCCGTAGAGCCAGAGAAGACGGGAGGTGGTGGGTGCAGGTCCTTGGGGGAGTCCACGTAGTCTGGCCGGAGGTGAAAAATGAACCCCCGAAAATAAAAATCCGGGCCTGGGGGCCATCATGGGCGTGTGCCTTAACACTCAGCTGCCGGGGGACAGATCCCTCACACCTGCAGGATCCCCTGCACCATCCACGAAGGACCTCTGAGCACAGAACCAGGAGTAACCCTGGGCAAAGCCAGGCATGGCCCCAAACCAAACTAACCAGAAACCCAGACCAGGCCTGGGAATCAGCCAGCTGGGGAGTCTGAGCTCAGGACCGGACCGGGCAGCCACCATCGCCTCTGCACAGGCACTTCCGAGTCTGGGCGCCCACTGTCCACTCTGCACAGGCAAGGGTGAGTCCAACGCCCTGCAGCGAGCCCGACCAGGTGCGGACGCTGCGGAGGGGTCGTGTCCCCCGTGGGCGGGGGCCCCTGGTGCAGGCCTCCAGCTCTCGGCTCTGCCCCCGGGACCAAGGGGTCACCCGCAGTCCCTCCGCGTCCCTCGCGTCTCCCACGGCCCTGGAGCAGTCCGGTCCTGAAGGCCACCACGGAACTGACACGCCGCAACACGGGTCCTGCTGGAAGCGAAGCTGGGGGTGGGGCCTGTCCTGTCTCCACCAATGACAGGCGAGG